TGGGGTTGGCGAGTGTGTTGTTGAATTTGTAGATGGGAGGAAGCTGGAAGACGACGTGGAGTGACCAGCGCTTCGATCGGCGGAGTACATGTACGTTTGAGGGATACATGGAGCGACCAGCGCTCCAACTGTCGAACCAAATATACGTTTAAGGAATACATCAAGCGCCCAGCGCACCAACCCTCCCCCCAAACCACCCCATGAAGAAAACATCCCCCCAACACCCTCCCCTCCACGCACCCCCCATCACCACATCTCCCCCAACGGACTCCTCCCCACCCTCTTCCCCTCCCTCTTCACCCTCATCTCCTCCACAGTCGCAACCCTCCGCTGCGCAGGCACCAACCTCCTCCCTCCTTCTTCCAACTCCCCCTTCGGCCCAAGCACACTCAACAACCTAATCCGCTGCCCCATGCCAAACGTCCTCTTCCCCTTCTCATCCATGTCCTTCTTCTTCTTCTCCAACACCCGCTTTAGCGCTAGTCTTTTCCGCCCAAGCCGCTTTGAGCTTGCGAGGAGTTGTTTCTTGGTGGAGGGCTTTTTGGTGAGGGTGCCGGTTTTGTTGGCGGGGGGGTTTGGTGTTGCGGGTGTGACTTGTGTTGGTGAAGATGTGGCGGCAAGGCGGCTTCGCGTTCGCATGGCTGGTGGGCCGTTGAGGCGGCGCTCGAGCTGTCGGCGCGCGCGGCAGAGGTGCCAGGTTAGGCGGCGACAGAGGTGGGAGTGGGGGCTCATTGTGAGGCCGGGAAGTAGTCCAGCTACTTTTGGGTGGTGGAGAGGTGGGTTTTGAGATTGCCAGGAGGATGTCAAGGCTTTTGAGGTAGATAATATGAGGGGGTAGAAAGTGTTGTAGGTGTCTGGGATAGGTTTTGAAGAGCGGACGGCGAGGTTTTGATACCCTGAGGAAGGACAGGAGGGACAATAGGATTATCAGGATAGAGGTGTACAATAGCTTTGCAGACTACGATAGCAGTGGATAGAAGCATCTCTTTCCTATTGTGTTGTATTGAAGCAAGGTGAAAGTGAAGGTGGGATTGTTCCGGTCACTTCGACTACCTACGTTTCCACATACATGCTCTCATCTATCCAAGGTCTAGGCGGACATGTCTTCACCCACTGCCGATGCAGCTTTCTTGTCATCTCGACCTTGTTCCAGAAGTTGTCCCAGTATGCTTTGTTGACTGCTGGGTCGTGGCTGCGGAAATATAGCTCGTGACCCGGATGCCTCATCTCCTGCAACCTGCGAATACAAAACCGCAAGTTGGCGACATCCGCAACTACTTCTTTACTGACGTTCACCCATGCCTCGCCTAACTGTTCTTTTGACTCTAAATCTCGCTGCTGGGACTGCAGATGGTCGTCCAGTGAAACAACTTCAAATGCGCACCCAGCCCATGGGCCATTTGAGAAGTCGAAGGCTTGTCCTGGGGAGGGGCAATCTGGGTTACTACACGTGAGAACCAAGAATATGTTGGCCAACGTGAGCGCTTGGTCGGTGTCTGGCAGTGGTCGCGATGTTTTCTTCGGAACTCTTCTCACTTGTTCCGACAGCTCGCGGTACATTCTTTGCATCCTGGGAAGTACTGGCTCGTGGAACTTGGGTAGTGAGTCCCAATCAGGTGCTGGACAGGTTGGCTCTTGCAACTGATCCGAGCGTACATATTGTCTAGTCGTGATGTTGCGAAGCACCCACTCTCTCTGTGTGTCTCGTAGATTGAAACGATCGAACCGACCAAGATCTCGCTCGATCTTGTCCCGATCCCCCGGTCTTAACGTCAGCTCATACTTTGCCATCTTCAATCCTCGGCCGGCTGTGTATCCACGCATGGGACGCATGAGAGAGCACCAATCATACGGTGGTCGGCACCTGAAATGGTCCCATCTCCGATCTTTGACACTCTGCTGCGACCTCATTTCCTGACGTCCATTGATCATGACAGGAGTGTCTTCGATACCATAGTTCCGCATTTGTGCCGCGGTGAGCTTCGACCGCTCGAAGTGGAACCCAACCTTTTTGCCTACCCAGTTGGCTTTCTGATAGGACCGATATATACGGGCCAAGGCGAGTGGCCATAAACGAGCGGACGAGAGGCATAGTGCAAGGAAGTCTTCCCGATTGAACTCTTGCACTGAGGGGCGCCTATTCCAGCGTTCATAGCCGAGTGCTTCCCAGTCAACCTCTTCGCGAAGTAGGATGTAATCGAAAATTTGGTCAATAATCTCGTTTGGCAGGCGCTCGAAGAGGTCTCCACTGGGTGGATAGAAGTGCTGGACACGTTCCACGTCTCGCTTTATAAACATATTGTGGAACCAGTACTCGTCTCTCCGGTCAAATAACTTCGGGGTGTCGTGTTCGTACATGTGAAGTGTATAGTGTTGATCGAGCTCCGGACAGATGAGTTGGTAGTAACAAGGAAACCCGGCACCCGGGGGAGGCCCATATGTTTCACCCTCGTAAAAGGCGCCCATGTCGTCTGGTTACATCTGCGTTGCTGGTGTTAAGAAGGGAAGACGATGAGTCTGTAAAAAAAAAAGGTTGAGAGATCGCGACTCCCCCTTGTTAATCAATGTTGATGCTGCGCCGCAGCACAGACCTAACCCAAAGCGGAAGGAACAGCCCATGTACCCGTCAAACCGACACCATCAGCCGAAATTTGCGATTCCGGCGAGGAAGAAGAAATCGCCATCTAGTATCGCGGCATCGCACATTGGCCAAGCACTCTTGAGTGCGCTTCGGTCAGCTGCGCCCTTCGGAGTTGTGACAACACATGCCGCCATCGATGTGAGCAACATCAATCTGGCAGCATGGATGCGCCCGCCCTGCAGTTTCGCAGCCATTCTCTAATTACGTTGTCGCATTCGTGAATCGTTGTGATGCCGCCAATTCCAGAAACTGCACCCTTCCCATGATCAAGAGCCCGTTCGCGCGCGCGCCCACCGTGCAAGAACCATGGTTTGGTCGAGAGGGTATATTTGGCCGCCTTCCAACGGCGGAATATGACGCACGCATGGTTGCGCGGTGGTAATTCGACATTCACTGCAGCGACTGAGCTGTGAATGAGAGTTGCGAATTGAAGGGACTGCGACTGGCTGGGCCGGTACATATACTTTCTGTAGCCTGTCAGTATAGCACAATAACTATTCCCGCGACCCAATACCCAAGTAAACCACTATCGTCGAACGCTCACCACATTCAGATCTTACACATCCCCTCAACCCTTCGTTCACTCACTCAAATAATAATACTCTCAGCGAAGCAGACTAGTCACCAAGTCACCACAATGTCCACCAGCATCCCCACCACCGCGGTGCAAGGCCCGCCGTCAGACCTCAAGGACTTCCTCAACCAAACCAACAACGCCGGTCTACACGCACCCGAATCAAGCGCCAATAGCGAGGACAACTGGGACGTCGTAGACAAGGAGGAAGCGCTGCACGAGCAGGACAAGTACGAGTGGGAAATCGTCGGCAAGACGGCGGCTGAGAAGCAAAAGCAGGAGGTGGAGCGCAAGGAGCGGATGGAGAAGCAGAAAGAAGAGCGCAAGGCTGAGAAGCGTAAGGAGAAGCTTAGGGAGCGCATGAAGGGTGTCTCGTACGCTGAGGCTGCTGGTAAGGCTATTAGGAAGTCTTAGTATGGACGGCAGCTGTGAGGAGTTCACGGACGGGCAGGCTGGGAGTGGAATTGGGTATCTTCATTTCGCAGGCTGTGCGCCATATATGCCTTGGCCCTTTATCAATCATTGAACCGCAATCGATGTCCCTGAGCCTCGTGGTATCGTGTACGTGCGTCGCGATGTCTTCGTTTGCCTCGGGCGCCCTGCCCGGCGCTTGCATTGTTGTATGGTTGTGATGTAATCCTACTCATTTCTTGCCCTTCTTCTTCTTCTTACCCCCTGTTCCCGCACCAGCCGCTGGGACGCCGCCCATCTTCACATCTCCGCCTTCATCGACCTGTGGTGTGGATGTGGCCTCGCCGCCAGCTGGCATACTCAGATCGTCCGTTGTCTCCGGCAGCGCTGCCATGTGTCTTCCCAGCCTGCCCAGGTTTCCAATCAATCTTCCGACTTCGGCGCCCTTGTTGGTCTCATATTGTAGACACGTCCCTGACTCCGGGTCGTACGTCTTCAGCGTGAAGAACACGGTGACTTCTTCGGGATTCTGCGATTGCGGCGGCGGTGATGATGCGCGCGCTGTGTCTGTGGGCTTCGAAGCTCGTTTCTCTTCGTACTTTTGGCGCTTCTTTATCTTCGAGGCCGTGGGCTTGAGGACCGAGTATTTGGACGTGATGCGTGTCTAGGAGCGAGATTAGAAGGCGGGTCGCGTGCGTGCGTGGACTGGAGCTTGGCATACGGATGTCGGTCGCGCTTTGAGCAGGAGTGACGACTGCTCGTACCACTCCTGACTTGTCGCAAAGTACGGCATGGTGTGTTGAAGTTGTCTGGGGTCGAGGGTGAGAGAGAGAGATGAGGATGGTGGTCGGTGCGTGGGTTCGGTATGCGGGCAACTTTTGGCGGGGTCGGCCGGGGAATCGTCGGGCCAGACTAGATTCGCGACTCTACCCAGGTACCACGCGACAGGAACCTAGGATGCAGAAAAGGGCTGACACCAGAACCGACCTATCAGGCAACAGCAGTTTGCTGCTTGCGCCACTACCCGAGAACCTTCCACGGTTTGACTAGTGCTTGAGTCAGGGCTCCTGTACTTCATCTTCAGAAATCGAAATCTATTCTATCAACTCCCCACCACCCAGACTACTACTCACCAAGAATAATCTTCGGACGCCGGGTGCCGGATAGGACGAGGACTTATTCGCTGAGTTTCAAGCGAGCGCAGTCGAATCAAAGAATCTTCGCATTCTTCGTGCCAAACTTCAACTAGCCAGCGCGCACCATCAAACATACCGGACATTGGAGCCTACATTCTCGCCAAATCTTTCGATTCGCCCGTTTACATCATAGTGTAGTCCGCAGGCCTACCCAGGTTTATCCCGGTCGGAGGTGATCATGGCAGAGTCCACCACCAAAGGCCTCGGCCAAATTGGTCTTGGGGAAGAGCCAGCTGAGGGCAAAATGCCCACCCCAAGGGCTGAGCTCGAAGTCACTATCCAAGAGCTAGTGGCGCGTGGCAACCATCTCAACGACGAGGTAGAAACGTACATCGCCGCGGTTCTTGAGAAGCAAAAAGTCGGGAAGGTCTACAATCCAGTTGAGTACGTCTATGCAATTGCAATGATATAGTCATCGTCATCTAAACGAAGGCTCCCCGCCTTCTCAGATCAAACCTCATACAATCCTGGAGGTGTTCGCGGTGGGTCTGCTTTCACATTAGCAATATATAACATAGCGTATACCTCCAGGGGAGGTCTGTCTGAGAAGGGGTGAGCTTCTTCGTGACTAGATCCGCAGTCTCAGACCACAACTAACTGTACCAGATACCGAAATCTTCGCAATGACATGCGCAACGAGCTAGCCTTCCTACAAAAGATCGCAGGATGCTCCATGGATGAGGAAAAAGCCCAGCATTACATTGTATCTTCGAATCTCCTCTACTACGAAGCACTATGGGGCGCAGCGAAGCGCTCAATGGGAATCCAAAGCTTCCGCAAATACTTCTTCTGGGACCGACACAAGGCTCCAGCGGGCAAAAGTACAACAAAAGGAGTCAGCCTGGCGAAGGGAAGTCAAGCCAAGAATAAGACTTCCGCGCTCGTTGACATCGTTGCAGAAGAGGGTGCGGAGTGGATACGCGTATCAACCGTCTCGGAAAAGCGCATCCTCTTCGATCTCGCGAAATTGGGTTGGGTCAACGACTCCGACTCTGAAGACAATGAAGATATGCCGCCTCCACCGGAAGACGACGATGACGACGAAGACCAAATCGACGTGGTACGAAATGCTCGAGGTCTTGCGAGAGCTGCTCGCGCGAACCCAATTCGCGGTCGGCCGCCCAAGGTGCGCTTCGTCTTAACACGAATCTCCGCTGGGAAAACACCAGCTATCGATATGATCATCAATAAAATACGCGCTACGGGTGCGATAGTGCAGTGCGGAGATGACATCCCGACGGCTCTCTCTATAGACGCTGTTCTACCGCGCCTACTCATCGATCGATCACGGGCTCTGAGCGATACTTTGAACATCGACTGCACCATTCTACTAGCCCTCATATCCGACATCTCCCACAAACCATGCCCGATACTGGACTGGTATCCAGGGGAAGTGCGCGCCCAGATCGAAGAGGAGGCCCAAGAGCACCTGCTACCAACACATCTATACCCTGCCATTGGCGCGCATCCCATGGTGTGCACGCGCGAAGCAGCCGAGCAGATGAACCTGATAGTGCAGACTCTAGCAACTGATACAGAAAAGACAAGAGCGGATCTCCTTCTCCGACAAGGAGACTGCGCGTCGTGGTCACAACAACAACTAGTTGAAGAATGGGTACGTCCCCTCACACCTCACCCCACACAACCCAAAGCTAACATTCCCACCAGGCCGCACTATCCGACTACCCCCCACCCCCCTCCTTCACCCTCCCCATAACCGTCAAATCCCCCAACGTCTCCACCATCACCGACAACCTACCCCACGCCGCTACCGCCGTCGCCGCCGAACTCGGCCACCTCAATAAATCCATTTTCCTCTACGGCTGGTCCCAGAACCTGACGACGCTGAGTGCGAACCGCGGGCGCGCAAAACAGATTGAGCATATTATCAATGAGCATGGTCTCAAGGACGGCGAGGCTGGGCCGCATATCTGGCTGTGTGGGGAGAGCAGGAGTTTGATTGCGAAACATGGGAGGAGGAAGTAGGTGATGATGTGGAGCGGCGGCTCAGTATCGAGAGCAGGGGTCGAGGTATATCTTATCGATTTGTACAACCAATAAAACCTGAATGTATTCGCCTCGGTAGCTGTCAAAATCCTACGTATCTGCTGATGTTGTCTATTTGGCGGGCGCAGCCTTAACCGCCGTTGACCCCCGCTACCCAGTTACCCCATTTCCCATGCCGGATGGTAAAGCCAGCGCGTATTACATGCCACGGCGGCATGTTGGCGGGTGTTTGGAACTTTTTAGGCGTCAGAGTAAGCCAGCTCGCATGCCATATGTCCACTGAGTCGTCCCTACGCTCGCCGATGATTTCCTCCGGGTCGCACGCCGTGCCCAGGGCGAAGTCGCAGCGTATGAATGAGTGGTCGCCATTGGTAACTTGCTCTATCAGCTCTGGGAAGGTCTCGTATATGTATCCGCGGCGGAGTCTACGCTGCATCCAGGTTGGCGTTGGAAGCAGTCGCCGTGCATAACTTAGATCTAAGGCCGTCTGCCATGCGGCATCTCGCTGGGTGATTTGAAAAACCTGCGTAGTCTCTTCAGGAGCGGAGTCGCATTGAAAGGTTAGCTTGAAAGAGCCCTCGGGCATACCTAGTGAGGGGAGAATGGATGCTTCCGCCATCCACTTCGCAACCGCCCTTGAAACGTAGCTGGAGTCAAGACGATCGTCTTCCAAGGGTCTCCCCGTACTAGAGGCTATCATATACCGCAATGTACTGCTTACGGGGAACACGTTTGCCCAGAGACTGACACGCCTATGAACGCGCAGGTTTGGGTGCGCACGACAAAACGGTATAAAACCCCTTCCATGGCACTCTGGGAACGAAATAGACTCTCGGTCCTCGATGAGTTCAATCTGTCGCACGTTCTCACGCGTCTCGGCGCGGAGAGACCGAAGGAAACGTATTGCGCATGCTGCTGCTGATAAGGAGTGTTTCACACTCCCGACACCATTATGAGTCCTGGTTATGTCGACTAGTTGCTGGAGCTCGCGGTCGTATGTAGCTACAAGGTCGCGCTTATGCTTGTCCCGGGCGCAATGACCAAACTTTCCCTCTTGACCACGTGGGAGTCTGCCCTCATTGGGCGTTAACCAGGGTTCGGGATTCATTTTTCGAAGACTTCGGCGCAGGCGTTCCGAACGTTTGCCGCCCAGTTTAGGATTATATTTGCGGTCATACAATAGATTCAGAGTGAAGTGAACAAAGTCGCGGTACGTCGAAGGTGGCTCTCCCAAGGTATTCGCGCGTCCACCTAGTGTGCCTAGTTTCGGTAGGATCGGTGAGAACTGTGGATACTTGAGGGATACCTCTTTTTCGATTGCTTCAGTCATTAGACGCGGAGCTTGGATGTTGAGCAGGTCAAATTTGAGGGCGTGCAATTTGATGAGCGCTCCGTGGAATATATACGCATGGGTTTGCGTAGCGTTCGTGCAGGTTGTGCGAAAGACGACCTTATTAAGCCGCAGAGCAAGGCCTCGAAGCTCGAGTGCGGCCGCACGGCATGTGTACGTCAACGACAAATCGACAGGAAGCTTGTTGGTTTCGAAATTGTACACTAGACCGTCTTCGTTGAACAGGTAATGGTGGTATATGAGATCTCGAAGTTCCCTGGGGAGGCGAAAGAGGCGCGATTGAAGCTGAGGGTTCGGAAGCGGCATAGTGGATGCCGTATTGCGTTGGACTGCAGATGGTGGAGACCCACAAGACAGTCTGTCGCGGAGAGGTAGCTGATCTTCATTGCCCATGTCTTATGTAATTATGAACGATGTGTTGAACGTCGTTGCCCTGATGAAGATGTACATATGGAGGGCAAGCGTGACTCATCAGCAACAGAGCCTGTCAAAGCCGCATCCAAAGACGTGAGTCAGGTACTCCGGAAGGGCGTATTCGATCCTTCGTGATAGGCGTTAATTGCAGCCTGTATCTTACCTCGGTATACCGCGGTGAGACGTGGCTCATGAGTACCTAGGGAGGAACAGCAGAGACGAAACTGAGTTCGCGCCCTTCACCCGAAGAAGAGAGTGCGCTGTTGACGCAGACTGGGGTGTGTATCCATCTGAACTCTTCGATCGTTCGTCTTGAATCGAGCAACGTGTCGTCAGTGAGAAGAGGTCATAATCGATCCATGTGTTTGTCGAGGTATGTCTTCGTCGAACTTCTGGTTGGCGCGTTGGATGCGGCTGCCTAAGACGCTTTAGTGTGTCGGCGCTGACGTCACCGACGCGTCTCAACGAACCGCATCGCGTCTGTTAACAACCGCGTACCAGAGGAGTACTTTCCCACCAACACCTTTGTACAACAACGTCCGCCTTCAGTAGCGCCTACCTTCTGCAGCTGTGCACCTATATCTGCTGCCTAGACTCTTCCGCTTGACGAGGAAGCTACACTTGGTACACACAACGACTAGCAATGGCGCACCGTGGCCTTACCGAGGCCTTCGAATCGGCGCAGCTGGGCGAAAATGGGAAGCCACGTTTGCATCCCGTCGCGCTCTCTGGTTGACCACCGTAGCCAGACCCGTTGCGCTCGCCTTCAACCCTACGTGGCCTCAAGTCCAAATACAAGAACACCACTTTGTCCCTCGCTGTCTTGCTACCGCTTGCCACAAACCCTTGGCAATGGAGTCAACTCAATTCATAAACCACTCCGACACACCTAAGCTCGCCGAATCTAATATGGAACATGTCAAGAACATTCTGCCCACACTGCCGGCAATACTACGCCTTCCACGCGAGCTGAGAGACCTCATTTACGAGCATTATGTCCAGGTCGACGGTGGCTACATCCATAACATCGAGGTATGAGAATGCCAATGGAATGCGTATCAGACATACACTGACCTTCATCTTTGCAGACAAACCGACTTCTACAGGCCGACGGTTCTCCCATCTCCACCGGCCTCGCTCTTACATGCCGCCAGATTGCAGCCGAAATGCAAGGGCTTGCGCTCGGGCAGAATACCATCACCTTCCACACCCACTTCTCAGAGTCTACACGACAGCAAGCCGGTCTGTTCCATATAACGATGTATACTATAATGTTCCGTAAGAAGATCCAGCTACAACGACTCATACCTCGACTTCTATCCTACGACATGGTACAAAGGGCAATCGACGCATACCCGCAATTCGCTCAGATCTTTGACGGTTGGACGCCGCACCAGTCTGTCGTCGCCTTACACAAGCGAGATTTCGATTGTGGAGAAGCACCGTCCACGTGGGACGATTTCATTCAATATGTTTTCCATCTGCTATCGAAGCATCCCGCATTCCACGACGAAGCGGAGCGTATGCCTCGAATCTGGAATCCAGAGGAAGACTGCGACGTGGGAGCTCTCAGTGAGACCTCGCCGGCACCTTGGCTCATACCAGATCTTCCCGAACTCGGCAGGCTCACAAGCATCACAGATGTCGAACCGAGACCACTGACGTATTTCCACAGACCGGAATACCGCCATTCGGCGGCGTCTGTAGCACTGCGTTTTCTCCACGCAATTCCGTCTTCGTCCCTCAGCCAAGTGCGAACCGTGATACTTCACGAGGATTATGAATCAGGTGTGAATGCGGCGTCTCACGGAAGAGGATTTATTCCTTTGTGTCAATTCAATCGGCGTCTCCGCGTCCAACGTATCGTGAATATATGGAGCAGCGTATTTAGCCCACGGCCTGCGTCAAGGGTCGACTACGTCGCCATGTCTGGCGACAACATCGATCGTATGAAAGATGATCGTTTGTACTCATCGACGATTACCAAAGCAGTTGGGGCATGGATCGCTGAGGCTCAGGCATTGCCATCACTCGGAATGCCTCGGGATTCGCTCAGCGTACTATTGGACGGCAGTCCGACGCCCAAACACACCTCTACCGTTTTCAAGATCGTGCAGCGAGACGTCGCCTGGCAATCAGCTCTCGATGCTGCATATGCTCGAGGTCTTTTGCCTACACCTTCCTGGTATGAGCGACGAACTCGCGTTGGATACCAGTACGAAGGGCTTCCAGCTGCGATCCGCGATATGTCAACCGATGGTGGGCCGATTAGCTGCAACTTCGACATTGTCCAATCAGACAACGTGGAATCTCTACTTGCGCTACATCGCGGCTGGACGCTCAAGCAATGGGGAGATCGTTGGAATTTGCACCAGCCGCATTGCTTTCAAACCGAGGAACCGTTGCCTCCGTGGCATGTACTTAAATGGCTGCGGGTAATGCTGTAGTTGTCAACGGATGATGGTGGACTACTGAACTGGTGGAATTGTGTTTACGGGAAGCCGACGATGAATCTAGTATAGCTTCCACGTCGCACATCATCTGACTGCTGCCCATTCACTTCAGGATATTTCCGCGCGCCTTGATGAGGTGCAATGGCAAAGACAACGGCCTCATGTTAGTACCATAGCATGTGTAGACGAGCAAATATTCTTGTGCAGGCGCAAGGGTTTTGTCTTTCCTCAACTCCAACCCTAGACAAAGAACATTAACAAATACATGAAGCCATGCTCTGCCTTTCAGGGTCCTTCGCCCAGTCCTGCTGCCTGGGGTCTCGCGCCTGACGTGACTTGGTGCCGTACGACGAGGCGCGTCGGCTTGGTAAAGTGCGCGACATTGGCGAATAGAAGGCAGCGCTATTCGGAGTGAAGGTAGCTTCCAATAATGTTTGGATGCGCAGCGCGGAATCAGAGACGTGTTCCAACGGACAACCTTGGAATGGTAACTGCAGCAAGCATGTAGACCTCGGGAGTAAACTGGTACCTAGATACCGAATGCACACTAGTACTGATAAGGTAAAGTGGGTCCACTAATCTTCGGCTCGGTCCTAATCGTCGCTGCCTTCACAAAAAGACATACACACACAAACCAACAAAGGCTCGTCAGATACGCGTCGCGTCTCAATCGATAATGAACTCATCACTTGCGGGCATGGTCATGGCCATAAAATGTAATTACGCAGCTAGCAGGCCGACGCGAACGCATTTGACAGTATTAACAACCAGCCATTCTTGAGGTCACGCCTACCAGGTCTGAGCATTTAGGCAGCTACAATCGATGCGCAACTGCTGTACCGCTGGGTGGGGAACTCCTAGATGTTGCGACTCTGGTACTCGGAGTTCAACGTGGCTTCAACAACTTTCTCTACTTATATACAGCAGTCGCTACTCTAATTCGCTTCAACTTCAACTTCCTCATCACGCTTAAGACACTCGCTCGTTCCTAGATCCCTTTCCCGATCTACGAAACGATGATTGTAAAATTTGTGGTCACGCTCATTAGGGGACTCTGGCCCTATATCCTCAGAGAGTTTCTGGTCGCTCTCTTCAGACTACTTCTTTTCCCTCTCATCAAAAGACTCCTGTTCTCCCGCCGCAATCCGCCCTCAATATTCGCACGTCCCAGGGAATCTTGGTCAAACTATTTTAGGAGATGCTGGTACATTCTCGTCAATGGACCTCGGCTTTCTTTCGTCAGGAGACTATTCTTCAAAGTCCCAACACGGAAGACCACACGTTGTGCGGCCATGGCCACGGCTGATCCCCGTCGCCCATCACACATGCAACTGCAATCACCCCTCTTTCGGTTACCTCGGGAACTACGAGATCAGATCTATGGCTATTGCTTCGTTTGCGAAACTGGACTCGAATACGACTACAGCAAGAACAAACTCACTCGGACGAACGGCGAACACATCGATCTATCACTGATGTACACTTGTCGCGAGGGCGCAGCTGAGCTACAAGGTTTCGCTTTACGACTTAACAAGGTCAACTTTCGTACCGCATGTCCAGGGGCATCAAGACATAAAATAGGAATGTTTAGCATGGCTCTAGGCGAGTTGAACAGGCAGAAATCCTATGGCCTCAATAAGATAGCTCAGTCCTGCCTGACGGACGAGACAGAAGCAGTAATAGGTCTTGCTTATCCCCAGTTTGCCCCCGTCGTGCGGAAGTGGAGACTAGAAGGCCCTACCTTGCAGGCGTCATGGGACTATGGCGAGCCACCTTCCATGTATCGCGATTTCGTTCATTTCGTGTTGCGAGTCCTGGAGGACTGTCCCCGTTCCAGGTTACCTTTCGACCTGCTGAGCTTACCGCACCTCGAGCCTTGGCAAGATCCGGATGATGACGCGCTCGAAGAGATCCTAGGCATCGCATACGCTAAAACTCAACGCCCTCGCTCGTTGGAACGCGACAGGGGCACCGTCTCTGCAGCTACTTGTGCCATCCGGTTCTTTAACTCTCTTCCGGTGTCGATACGCTCAGAGCTTAGGCAAGTTGACCTAATTGAAGACCGCGAGTCTATCTCATATCCAGAATGCCATGCAAGGGGTCTAATCCCCTTCTGTCAGGAGAACAAAAATCTGCGTATCCACAGACACATCGATCTCTGGTGGAACGTACTTTGGGGCTGGCACAGAGGCAGAGACACAGTGCCCTCATTGTGGATTTCGATCTCTATCGCAACATGGATAGTCGAAGCGACCGCGCTATCTTTCCTGGGAATGCCTAGCGAGTCCTTCAGGATGACATTTGAGAGCATTTCCGCGCCAGAGAAAGGCACCGAAATATTTGACGTCTTACAGCACGATGCCGCATGGCAAACTGCAATAGATTTGCTCTACGAACGCCAAGACCTACCGACTTTCTCTCGCAGATGGCGTCCTGAATACATTTTCGAAGCATTCCCGCGGACTTTGCAGAGCATAGTCAAAAATGACTCTTTCATACGGTGCGACTTCCCGCCGGGAACACCTCACGACCCGGAGACGACGGTCAACATGCTTATGAGCGAGTCGGTCGACGAGTGGAGTGATCACTGGTGGCAGTACCACACGCTAAGGGAGATCCAATTGCCTTCGTATAGACCATCTTGGTTTACTACGCAGTGACATCATTGTCGATACAGAGACTCAAAGCGACCGGGAATGTAAACGCAATTCTGTCGCATCACCGCCTCACGTTTAGCGAAATTTTGTCATTTTGAAGGGTTGCAAGAGTCTACCCCCTTCCGATAATTTCAGTTAGCTCTACCGTCTTCGCCGCGAAGATTAGTCTCAAATCTTTGCCGTACAATACATATCTTTCTTCGTTGTTCGAACGCCCCATACACAGATGTTTTACGTGTCCATCAATGCATTCATGAGCAAGATAAGATGGAGGCTCGGTATCGTGAATGTAAATTGCTAACTTTGCCCCTAGTGGCTATCAACGCTTTAAGTAATCATAACCCTCATTCCATGCTGACTAGGTGACTGTGAAGCCCTAGAGTTTATGATATACTGAGCAGGGCGCAAAGCTAAATATGTCCACTGTCGTTCTCATGATGCTAACCAAACAGTCCGTTCAGCGAAAAGACATCGCAAATCGCGAAGATACTCATCAGGATCTTCTTCCACCTGGTCCGGCATCCTCCACTCACAATGCCGATCGTAGAAAGCAACACGATGATCCCATATCCCCAGTCTACGCTTCAGATTCGCCAAATGTCGCTTATGATTCTGCTGCGCGTCCACCAGATCAGGGTCGTTCATAAGGGCCTCCGCCATGGGCCGCAGAGCCCGTACTTGGACGAAAGGCTTAACACGCAAAAGGCCAGACAGAGAATGCCAAATTTCTTCTCGCCCCCTAGAATCCATTGTATGGGGCCAGGGTTCGTTATTTCCGGCATCGTTGCAGTATTCCCAGTCATCTGGGAGCACGATCGTCAAGACACGGAGTCGAGGAAGTGATTCGAGGAGGTTGAAGAGTGGTTTGCATAACTCTGCCCAAGTCATCTCGCGGCGTTGGGCTTCGGAAAGCGGAGGGGACTGCGGGTTTATCATTTGATAGTTGATATACCAATTGTACGAATCCTCAGAGTCAAGTTGCATGGAGTCGACTTTGAGCTTAAGCTCATACTCGATTATCCGGTCTCCACTACCGACGAACGGCGAGTTCATGGTCAGGTTTCGTAACCACATGCGATGCTCTGGCCCGATGTGGGTGAGGAACTTGAGCAGCTCGAGGTGTTGGTACCTGCCGGCGAAGCGGAATTCATTCTCGCCGTAGAGTACCTCCGCGCACTCATCGTGCATCGCCTTGCATGTACGGAGGAGACTGAACGCAAGTCTCGTGCTGCGATTAGAACTGAAGAAGACCATATCTGAAAGATGTTGTCCATAAGGCTGGATTGGCTTGTATGCAACCAGGCAGTAGCGGTAGATCTCGACGCGTAGTTCGGTTGGGAGTTTAAGGAACGGAAACGGTGGACCGACCTGCATTCATCAGCACACAACTTTTGTACTGGCGTCTGTTATACTTACAAGCCTGCGCAAGCTCTTCTTATGATCGAATAGTGCCCGATTCGATCTGTAGGGTTCCAGTTCTTCGGGTGTGAACAAAGGCTCTGGTGCGAAGATTGGTTGTAACTCGCCATCTCCATCTTCTTGCCAGTCCACAGGCTTGTTCTTGATAACACCTTTGGGCTTAAGGATGAGATCATTGTGCTTGCTAGCGCGATCTAAACATCGTCGTGGCGCCATGCTGCAGACCCAACGGTGGTTGAGTGCTCCAGGGGTAGTGGACTAAGAGGGAAAGGGTGAATAGCAGACTGATATAGTCACTGGGCGATATACTTAATAGGCACCACCCCTAGTCCGTGCACCCTTCGCCCAAGCGGAGGAACTAGACTCACAAGGCCTCGTAGACAATGGAACAATCGTGGTGTACAAAAAGGGACTAGTATACGGATACAATAGCATGCATGTATCGCTAGGGCGGATTCGAACATCTACCTAGGTATGCTTGTGCACGCAGGTCGGGTCATCAATTGCGAGCCTCTCGATCAAAATCGTGCAGATCTTGCGCCTCTACTCTAAATGAGCTCGAGTCCCCATGATCTGTGCTACATCACCGCATGTGGCAACACATCTCGATTTAACCCAGCAAAAAGATGCTTTTCAATACCTAACACATCACAGTAAGATCACCAAGCGAGGAAGATGTACTCCTTACCTGTTAACCTTACCTTGACGTCGCTGCACTACTTGGAACCATCGTGCTTGTAACTTACATTAATACCTACCCAGGCAAAACTCGCGAGCAAGGAAGATATTTTGAAACGAAAGAAAGAAAAGCTAATAAAACATGCGGGAGAAAAGTTCACCTTGCCCTACCCATTCCGGCCTACCAAACCTGTGCGAACCTGGGGTGATGAACATCGTGACTGCAGTCGACTGAAGGATGACGCTGTACCTCGTCCCTACCGAGGAGTCGAGATCGAGACGTGAAATGCCAATCGACGAGAGTGTGATGACCGATCGAAAGCCTAGAGGTAATACGTGTCGACAACCCTTACCATCCTGACCTGTAGCGCTGTGTTGAATGGTCGAACGTCAAGAGCAGAACAAACTCGATCTTACCCTCAGAGCCGAGAAAGGGTGAGGCGAAGAAAGGGGAGGTAACCTTTGACAAACCCTTTGCAGAAGATACGTGAGCCATCGAGCGGGCCTAGTATCTGCGGCGCTGGCTTCGGTCGTCGTAGCTGTCGCCTTCGTAGCCGCGCTTCCTTGAGCCGTCGTCTCGGCCTCCACCACCGTACCCACCGTCGCGGTCGCGGTATCGATCTCTGCTGCCGAGCGGTTCGTTGTTAGCGCCGCTGGATCCTCGGTCGTAGCCACCACCACCGCCGCCGCGTCGGTCTTCGTATCGTCCTCCGCCTCCACCGCGGTCGCCTCCAAATCCACCTCCGCCTCCTCGGTCGCCGCCGAACCCACCACCTCGTGGACCGCGAGGACCAGCTGGGGCGCCATCGGGAGGTCCATAGCCGTTGGACTGGTAGCCGATACCTCCGCGACCACCACCAAAGTCACCTCGACCGCGGCCACCGAAACCTCCTCGTCCACCGCCGAAGCCTCCTCGATCACCCCCGAATCCGCCGCCAAATCCGCCACGGCCACCACCTCGTCCACCGAAACCTCCACCGAAGCCACCGCCGCGGGCTCCGAAGCCACCAGGGCCAGCTGGAGGTCCCCCAAATTGGCTACCCCCTCCGCTTGGCCCACGGGCAGACGGGCCCTTGGTGTAGCCTCGTCCACCGAGACCGCCACCGAAGCGACGTGGGCGCCATCCAGAGACTGTGCGGCCGCGCTCGACATCCACGAGTACGCGTCGATCCTTGATCTTGATACCGTCTGTCTCCTTGTATGCAGCCTTCATATCCTTTTCGCGCTCGAAGACAATAAAAGCATAACCGCGCTTTCGCTTCTTGGGTGGCGCGTCGGCGGGTTGTGTGACGTCTTCAACGATCCGAATGCGCTCGATGGGACCGTAGCGGCCGAATTCGCGCTCGAGGTCATCGGAGGTGACGCCATAGGATAGGCGAGAAACGAAGAGCGTCTTGAAGGCGTCGCCCTGTACTTTGGGATCTTCGACGGGTTTGTCTAGATAATGTTAGTGAGTGATGCAAATAACAATTGCGCAAGTGATAGCTTCAGCGCGCGTGGTGATGTCGTACAATCCTTGACCCCTTCGGTGAGCAGATACTCCTGTTTCTCCTTCTTTTCGAGCTTCTTGCGATCGCGCTTCTGCAGCCAGCTGTCGGTGGGCACGTAGCCGTCGTTGTCTTTGTATTCCCTCAGCGCCTCCATGTACTGGCCAATGCCGCCAATCTTGGGCGTGCAGCGCTTCTCAGGCGCGTGGTCGGAAGGCTCGACCCATCGCAGCGGCGGCCGCGGGGCGAACAGGTTCAACAGCATCGGGGGGAGTAGATGCGTCATGGTTGCGAGTTTGTTTCTGGAATGCGCTCCAGGCGGCGATGTGGAATAGTTGGAATATGAGGAGTGGAGGGCGCGACGATGAAAGTCGATGTTTGGGAGTTGGGGCGTTCGAGGAAGCTGCGACGCGGAGTTCGCACTAGCGCAAACCTAGGCTGCGACCACCGCACGTGAGATCCGGGCCCGACTTTGGACTTTGAGATTGGTGAAAGCGCCGCTGTCACCACCGCAATTGCTCGCCAACATGCCTCTCTCGGCTATCAAGACGGTCGCAAAGGCTCAGGTATGTTTTCGCGGGTTCATCTGTCCCGACATTTGTCATCCTGGATGCTAATTACGACCGCAGAACGGCGTAGGAGCCTTTGTCCTGCCGTGCAAGTCCATCACCTTCCACTACTGCAACTGGTGGGGGTCGTCGAAAGGCATGAACGCCTTCCTCAAAGCCTCTCTCCCCGCCTTCGCCAAGCGCAACCCTCAGATCGAAATTTCCGTCAGCCCGCGGCCACGCCACCACCCCGTAATCATCGCAAACTACATCAACGGCGCCCAACGGTCAATATGTGTGAGGAATCTGCAAAATGAGGGTGTAAGGGAAAAGGCAGAGATGTTACGGAACAGCACAGGAGAGAAGAACAGGAGACTGGATGGACGACCAGTGAAGAGTCTGAACGAGAACGTCCGGGGCATCTGGAGTCCGTTCCACGGCAGCAAAATCAACATGTGAAGGATTGAAGGTGAAGGAAGACGAATATTACACGCGACGATATCCAGCGAGAATCATGGCAAGGCGTAGCGGCATATCAACCAGAGCTCTGCCTCTATGACATGAATGTTAAAGGACCCGCCTTTTTCGGCATGCCCAAGAGGATGTGAACGACATACACTGGCTGGGGACTTCATAAACGCTGTACAAACAATGTATCAAAAACACAGGAATCACGAAACTTGCAGAGCCCAAAGCGATGATCTTCATGCACGTTCATTTTGCTGAATCTACATAGGTCCTAGCCAAGTCTTCTTTTATTTCATAAGATCATAACCATTAGCTGCCGAAGCACGCTCCAATCAACTATAGACGAGCATCGCTTCGAGGCATTCATGCCTGGTTGGCGTTGATGATGTCAACGAAGGCAGGCTTCAAGCTAGCACCGCCGACAAGGAAACCGTCAATGTCGGCCTGCTTGGCAAGCTCCGCGCAGTTCTTCTCTGAGACACTGCCACCGTACAGGATACGGGTCTTCTCGGCAGCCTCGGCAGAGACCTCCTTCTTGAGCCACTCACGGAGAGCGGCGTGGACTTCTTGTGCTTGCTCAGTGGTTGCGACCTTGCCGGTACCGATGGCCCTGTTCTACGTTAGTGATTGCGCATGAAAATTATCTTTGTAAGCTTGACGCACCAGATGGGCTCGTAGGCAACGACAATCTTGCTCCAGTCCTTGACCTTGTCCGCAACAGCCTTCAGCTGCTTGGTGACAACGTTGACGGTCTCGCCCGCCTCGCGCTGCTCCAGGCTCTCACCACAGCACAGGATTACACTGAGACCGTTGTCGATGGCAGTCTTTGTCTTGCTGGCGACGAAGTCGTCAGTCTCTTGTAGGATCTGGCGACGCTCCGAGTGACCAAGGATAGCCCAGGTGATGCCGCTGTCCTTGAGTTGTTGAGCCGAGATCTCGCCGGTGAAGGCACCGTTAGGCTTGTCGAAGACGTTTTGCGCCGCGACCTCGATGCCCTTGCGGAGGTGCTCGCGTGCGAGGAGGAGGTAGAGGGCTGGTGGTGCGATGACAACCTCTGGTTCTGGTGTCAGTCTTTCGTCCTCTCGATGGTGTGATGGAGTTTTGTGCTTTTCTCGGATCGCTGAAAATGTGGTTCGACGTACCTGTGTTCTGGTCGAGCTGGGCCTTGTTAAGGTTCTCGACGAGCGACTTGATGGTCTGAATGTCGCCATTCCTTTAGACTTGTCAGCTTCTCTTCATCTTCTCCAAGCACTCACAGCTTGTGAAAGTACCCACATCTTGTAGTTGCCGCCGACGAAGAATTGACGAGCCATGTTTGCGGTTGGATCGGTTGTGTTTGCGTGAAAAGATGTTACGTTAGGGTATAAGTGTGTGGGATTGTGATTGAGTGTTGTGAATGAGGAAGGTACGGAATGTTGTTGTTGTTGAGCAGGAGCAGCACTTCTTACAGCTTAGTGGGGTGACGCGGGGCTAGTGACGTCTGAGGGCTCTGAGCTGTGCTGTACAGTAACAGCATCCGGCAAAACTCGGGCTTGAGCGAAGCATCGCTGAAAAACAATGGGGACGGTGATCCAATAGGAAATCTCTTCAGCGAATTGGCAAGTGTCGCGACGTTTCATTATACATCCTGTGGGACCCGATGCCAGGCAGTTACGGAAGCCATGCCGTTGCATTGCGGCATTTACATCTAACGATGTATGCTTCAAATCTACATGTGTCGAGAAGAAAAAGACGGGTTGCAGTATCCATCACTCTGCTTGGTGTTTCCGACTGGATGAAGCGATGACGAAAGAGTGGGGTCACCCACTTGATCATCCCGCAGCGCTCCTTAGCTTTCAGCCTCACAGCCGGCCGAAATCCTTCACATGCCTTAGCACCGCATTCCAGCTCACGACCACTGCCGGTACCCTAATGTCATCCGAAACGCAAGACTCTCCGACTGTTCACGGCTCGTCGGTCACACCGCTAACGCAATGCTCTCATTGGCACTCCCCGCTTGACATCATCGCCATCAAGCATTTCTGTTGCCAGAAGTTCTACGCATGCATCAGCTGTCACGATGCATGCGAGTCTCACACTTCCGGGGTTTGGCCCTACGAACAAAGAGATATGAGCGCAGTGCTTTGTGGGCAATGCAAACACGTCTTGACCGTTACGGAATACATGAACAGCGGAAGCAAATGCACGCAGTGCGGTAGCGCATTCAACCCTGGGTGCAAAAACCACTGGGAGCTGTATTTTGAGCTCGAAGAGAAGCCGTAATGGTATCTCGAATGAATGCACGCAGAAGCAGATGCCTTCCAGGCAGCAGCTGAAGTCGATGGGCCGACTGTGGTGCACTACCACCAGAGACGCGGCGGCCACGGTTTCTTCATCGATGTGTGTTCGGCAGCCTAGACGATACTTAAACCCCAGTATCACTCATTCTCTACATGATAACTCACTTACCAACTGCATTGGATCCCGCCTGCTATATCTCGAGCCACTATGAGCGACTACAATCTGTCCTCCCGGACACAGGTGCCTATCATCAAGGTGACGGATACTGATGGTATCTCATCGAATCAGTCCGCAAGTCTACAGCAACATCCAGTATTCACGAAGCAAAGCCCGCGGCCTGGCTACGACGCTATTCAGCACCAGGATTTGAGCAACCCCGATCACAGTCCCGAAACATCTGCAAGCAGCAAAGGACTAGGACCAAGAAGACATCCCCTGCCAGCATTTTGCCGCCTCCCGCGTGAGCTTCGCGATATGGTCTACAAGTTTTACATACCAGAGACGGATGGACTAGTGTACGCAAGATTCTTGTGCGAACTGAATGTGAGATATGTACTGACTTCATGCACCCATTTCTAGATATGACCCTGAAACGCGCAACTTCATGACCACGAGCGGCGAATCTATCAACTTGTCATTTGCGTATACATGCCGCGCTATCTACGATGAGTTATGGGAACGCGCCTTTAAGCTCAACAGCATCATCTTCCACACCGCCTTCTGCGAGACGAACCGCCAAGATGCTGGTCTATGGCATGGTGGCATCAGCAAGCTAGACCTGTACAAAGAGAATCTAGTCGACCTGATGGCCCGTCGATACATGACAACAGCGATCGAAGATGAGATCGCCACTTCGTATCCCCAATTCAAGCCGATACTATCAAAATGGCGAGCAGGAGGCGAAGTGACTTGGTTCTCCAACGGCCATGATTGGGGTGAGACGCCGTCAATCTACCGCGACTTCATCAGTCATGTCCTGAAGGTCTTGGCGAAGCACCCCAAGTTCCCTAGGAAGAATACGGACTGGACGCGTAACTTAGGGATGCCTCAGGATAGACGAGATACATACTGCAACGTCCTTGAGCTTATCAACTTTCATCCTGACCCATGGACCATACCTAACGCCGAGGATCTTCGACATCTTCAGTACGTGTCCGGCGTGACCACAAGATCTCCAAGGTTCTATAACGACACGGTGAAGTACAGACTCTCCGCCGCCTCCACTGCGATCAGATTTCTGGAGAACCCTCCAATGATGGTGCGCAAGCACATTCGAAACATTCGAAACATCAAACTGATGGAAGATCGAGAGTCGATTGCGCACCCAGAGTGCCATATGAGAGGCCTCATCCCCTTCTGCCGCGAGTTACCAGGGCTCCGTATCGAGCGAAGTATTAATCTTTGGACGACGGCGTATCCCTTCCATGAGCCGCACCCGTGGCAAACTGTAAGATGGGACAACGACACTTTTGCACGCGCACGAGTGAATTGGTCGATGCCGCCTCGTATTGCAACCAAGTTCGGGGACGTCAAATGTGTGAGCAGAGCGATCGCGCGATGGATGACCGAAGCAAGCGCGTTGCAGTCCCTGGGGATGCCACCTGGCGCCTTCACGTTACTTTTCGATGGCAACCCTTGCCCCGAGCTGGCCCACCATATCTTCCGCACCGTCTTCCAACGCGACGCCGCTTGGCAAACCGCCTTAGACATGAGCTACGGATACATGAGCTACGGATACATGAGCTACGGATACGAAGCTTGGGGCGGGTTATCGCAACCTTCGTGGTTCGAACGGCGACGTCGTCTTGGCTACATGTACGAAGACAGCCCCCGACTGGTACGCGATATGAATGTTGGAGGTGCGCTCATACGCTGCAATTTCGACATTGGGCACGAACATAGTGCTGAGAAAATCGCAGCGGAACTTCAGTATTCGGGTATTGGGGGCTGGGAGAAGAGGTGGCATGAACACCAGATTTCTTGGGATAATGCCGATCTGCAACCTTTTCAGCCTCTACCCGACTGGCGCGCCCTGAGAGGAAAACACTTGATCCCGACATGATCATACCGTTGTTTAGATGTTCGTCGAATTCATGATATACATCAGTACACGGGAACGAATGGCTGGACGGAGCGGTGGTATGAGCAACAGAATCATCGACAGTCAGGTAGTCATCAGCCCCGTCCCAACCTCCATGTCTTTGGAAGCACGAACATGTCTTTGGTCGTCCTTCCAAAGACATAGAAGATGGGACGGGGCTGATGACTACCTGCCTGACCTTAAGAGTAAATCACTTGATCCTGACTCGATCACGACGTTATTCAGACCTTTATAGAAATCATCACATACATACTGTCTTTTTTTCACATTCAATCATGATTAGTATCCCCTTATTTACTTATTTCCCCAACGTCAAAAACAGCCTATCGCCAATATCGCCCAGCCCAGGCTTAATCATGCCCTTCTCATCAACCCCCTTATCGCACCCACCAACCCACACCTCAACGCCCTCCTCCCACTCCCCACACGCCTTCTGCAGCCCCTCTTCGGTTGCCAGAATAGCAACCACGATGATCCGCTTCACACCCCAATCTTTCAGGGTGTCAATAGCCGCCTGCGCCGTCGCACCCGTCGCGATGATAGGATCTACGATGATGGCAAGCTCTGGTTGGGGCTTAGTTGAGCCAGCTGCGTGCGGGGTGTGGTAGGGCAGGTTGTTGTAGTATTCTACGGGTTGTAAAGTGGACTTCTCGCGGTAGAGACCGAGGTGGTGGACGGGCACGGGCATGGGGAGGAGGGAGGAGAGCGCGGGGACCATGGAGAGGCCGGAGCGGAGGATGGGGACGAGCGATATGGAGGTCGGTGAGGGGGAGGTGGTGGTTGTGGTGTATTCGTAGCCGAGGGGGGATTTGTCCTATAGACGGCATGTTAGTAGGTGGTGTGGTATAGTATAGCAGCAATGCTATGGTTGTTGTCTGGGTGATTTGGGGATATGGGAATCCTTCTATGAGTATATGTCGTGGACTACACCCCACTATGTGACATGATGTGACCGGGTGAATGTAAATGTGATGGAATGGGTGAACGTACGGTGCCTGCCTCTTGTGCCTTTAGGCCAGCGGCCAGAGCCTCATAGCCGACCATGAGAGCGAGTTCATGCACCAGGGTCTGCGCATCTTTGGACCCTGTGCTCACGGATCGGAGCTGTGAGAGCTTCGCCTGGAGACATGGGTGTGTTGAGACGTGGGCGTTCTTGGGGAGGTTGATGCCAGACATGTTGAATTCGCAGTGTAATTACGTAGAAAAGATACAGTAGTATTGCAGGTCTTGGTATTCTGGAATATATAGTGGTCGTTCAACTTGACACCTACTGTCCATTCAAGAAGGTGCATGAGACAAGCGCGTGGTCACGCCTAGCTCCCCACATGCCGGCGATAACAGATGCCATGGCGTCGGGCGCCTCCGTGACACGAAACCTTGTCACGCCTCGGCAGGTGCAGTGCCGCTAGACTGGGGAGCCCCTGCCAATCGGAGACAAAGGAAGCGCGCGCCATTCGTCCCATTATGTGCATAAGCAAAGGTTACTGAGATTTGACCTTTTCTTATTTGGCGCAGGAGGGAGGAGAAGACGCGAAGGAGGGCTGATATACGTGTGCTGTCTTATTCTCGGGCATCGCCACTTTTGTCCCGGCATCATAGAAAGCAGCATGGCGCGTTACTCCAAGTTGCACACGGCGTCTTGAGCTGAAATTATACACTACAAAGTTACGGGTGACTGCTCATCTTGGGACCCGCACGTCATTGCACATCGAAGCTGCATGCACAAACGGGACCAGGACGGCAGCTATGGCCAACGCTGCACTCGACGACGATATCCCCACCAAGCGCGAGTCGCATTTTAACAACCAGCGCTCTTCGCTGCGTTCTTCCACCCTCTCCGAAGAGTCTGCGCACCGCCCGGAACCGCCATCTCGAACCCGCAGCGACCTGCGCCGCCTGCACGACTTCAACCTCGACCTCGAGAGAGTCCACTCGGAGCACGCGGATAGCGAGGCATTGCCCTCGCCCACCTCGACCGCCTCGCCCGCACCCAATGTGCCGTACACGCGACAGCGGAATCACTCGTACAGCAGCGTGAAGCGGTGGGACAAAAACGCCGGGAAGCACCGTTCACTCAGTACAGTTTCGTCACGAGCCGGCGAGAGCAAGCACGACGACGACCTCCTAGGAGCAGACTCGTGGCTCCATCTCTACAACGACAACGCGCATTCGCCCAACCTTCCCACACCATTGCGCACGCCTAGAACGCGAGCGCAGAGTAGGGCGTCACAGAGAGAGAATGCAGGTGGTGGTAGTCCGGCATCTCAAACACATCCACACCGATCGAGAAGACCCTCTTTTCCACTCGGACGAGTAGCGCCCGGTGCTGCATCAGGGTCTCAGCTGGACATTACGGCCCTGCCCAGCATGTCGCCTGTCCAAGAAGATGGGCATGATCACTCCCACCGCTACGACGATCACCACACCGACGCAGAGCACTACTTAAGCTCCAAGCGCACACCTGGGCAACAAAAAGTATCGAGGTGTGCCACGGAGCTGTACACCATCTCCTACCTCATCTTCTTCTCCATATGGGGCACCCTAGCTCGTCTGGGTCTACAGGCCCTGACATTTTACCCCGGCGCGCCAGTCATCTTCTCTGAACTCTGGGCCAATGTCGCAGGAACCTTTATCATGGGCTTCCTATCAGAGGACCGCCGTCTCTTCGCCGCGGAATGGGGGAGTCGCAGTAATAGTAATGATGGTGAAGAGAAACTCCCTGAACCCACCGATTATCCTGCCAACGACATTGAACACTCGCAACACAAGGCGCGGCATGGGAAGATCAAGAAGACGATACCGATGTATATTGGTCTTGCGACAGGGTTCTGTGGCTCTTTCACCAGTTTCTCGAGTCTCATGCGCGACATCTTCCTTGCGCTGTCGAATGACTTGAAAAGTCCTATCAACCATCCCTATCCTGCAGGTACATCCACACCGCCTGTGACCACCACAGTCCCGCGAAACGGCGGATACTCCGTCATGGCCATCCTAGCCACAATCATAATAACCATAGCAACATGTTACTGCGCCTTACACATTGGCGCGCATCTCGCTCTCGCGCTCGACCGCATAACACCCAGCCTACCCTTCCGCTTCACACGCCGCGTCTGCGACCCTATTTTCGTCATCCTGGGCTGGGGCGTATGGTTCGGCGCAATCATAATGGTGTGTCTGCCTCCTTACTCAACATGGCGCAGTCAAGCCCTCTTCGCATGCGTCTTCGCTCCCGCAGGCTGTCTCCTGCGCTACTACATCTCCCTCTTTCTCAATTCCATCGCGCCGTCCTTCCCGCTCGGCACCTTCACCGTCAATATCTTCGGCACTGCGGTGCTGGGTATGGCGTACGATCTCCAACACGTGCCTCTCAGCAGCACAGGGCTTGTTGGAGGCAGTGTGGTGGGCTGTGCGGTTCTGCAAGGAATACAAGATGGGTTCTGTGGCTGTTTGACGACGGTTAGCACGTGGATTGTGGAGATTGATACGGCGAAGATGAGGAGGAGTGCGTATGTTTATGCGGGTGCGAGTGTGGGTGCGGGATTGGGGTTGTTGGTTGTGGTTATGGGGAGTGTGAGGTGGACGGTGGGGTGGGAGGAGATGCTGTGTGTGACGTGATGAGATGGTGAGTCGGTTGTGAGGCATCTTCGGGATCTTTTTGCATTGATGGTTTTGATTGTTTGGGGAGTATGGTCATGATATGATGGGTCATGAGACGGTAAACGGGGATCTCACTGGTTATACGATACATGATACGACTACGGAGGATGATGAGCTTTTGGCATTTACACTTATATACCCATGCAAGATAGAATCAATTTTACTCAGATTTCTTAACTGTTTTCCCTTCTCTTTTCATGCTTTGTTTACTTGGCTACGTCTCTACACTGCTCAAGTGTTCACTATAAGTGCGAGCATGCATCCTCAGCGCCTTGTCGGATCGGGCGCTCGATGTACGTCACTGATCATTTGCATCGCTGCAACGACATTGTAAACTTCCTGTTCACTCTCAAAGGGTCTGCGGTCTTTGCTTAGAACAGCAAGTTATTATGTCCTTATGGTTAAGTGCTGATGCAGAGCGGAGCAGAGCAGAGCAGCAAAACGCGGTGCGGTAACTCTACATAACGGTTCCAACGTAGGTGTATCTGCCAAACGGCTTGTACTCTTCGTTTGCTGATATAGGAGTTGTTGTGCTAAATCTGTACAGTTGCAATCGCCGTCAGTGATACCTTGCCGGACATCTTTCGTCTGTAACACACTAGACATATCTTGTGAAGCTGGGGAGTCTGACGATACTTCCCAGAGATAACGAAGGATGGTGGGGTCGCCTCGAGTTCTCAAATTGTTCTAGCTCGTATTCCTGATCGGTGCCTGCCAAACGTCCCAGCTGGGAAAGAAGTACAGCCTGATCATGACATCATCTCACCTGCACTGCCCGCCTGGTAAGGCTACACTTGGAAACAACGCTCCAGGGCTCACCTGCCTCATCGCGACACGGCTGAGCTCTCTCTCACTTAAGATCATCTTCAAATGAGAGCGCATATCGCGCATTCCTCTTCTCTCAACCCTCTGATCACACGCCTGCCTTCTGGTAGAGTCCTGGACGGGCGGCTGAACCAATGAGCGGTCCGCCGGAATGCAACTCCCTCTGCGAGCGCTGCAGCCTTCTCAGTTTCGACGATGGTGCCATCGGGGGCCAGGAAGTTGTGGGCGAAGATGGTGTTGCGCGCCTGTCCTTCCCGGAGTCCAAAATCGAATTGCGTCCTACAGATTGGCAGCCAGGGCGAGAAATCCCCTTTGACCGACCTGATTATCGACTCGCCCGCCTTGATTGGAGGCTCGGTGAGACTCTGCCTGACATGCCTCATTTGTTGCGTTCTTCTCAGCTCGGTTGTGCATTCTGTCGAGCTTTGCGCAAGTCCCTAAAAGAAACACTCGCGGAAAAGGCGAAAACCTATCCAATAGACTATGGTCTACTGAGTTTGGTTGCGTATCTTTCGCTGATCGGTGAAGATATAGAGGGGCTGGTGATAGAAGGGACTATTACTCTGGCTAGGTCTAACATTGTTTTTCAGACTATGTTCCCTATCGAGGCAGATTCTAGTAAGTCGCATCATTGAATCAGATCTTAGGCCGCGTGTACTGAAGGGTGTCCCAAGACTGTTGCGAGTGGCTTAAAGTCGAACCCTCGCGAGATGGTTCGTACTTAGACCCTATGACCATTCGGAAGAGTCGTCAATTGCTCGATCATTGCACGTCAACATGCCACCCTGAGATTCCTACCTCTTTCATGCCTACCAGGCTCATAGACGTCGGCCATGACACATCCGATGTCTCCCGCTTAGTTTTGTCCTCCAACATCGGCAATTCCGAGCAAATAAAGTACGCTGCCTTGAGCTACTGCTGGGGTGGTGAGAAAGACGCCGAGTCACAATTCAAGACCGAAAAGGTGTCTCTGGAGCACAGGTTTGTGGGTCTGCCTAGCGAACTCATGACGCCAACTACCAAAGACGCTATCTTGCTTGCAAGGGCGATTGGCCTTCGCTATCTTTGGATAGACGCTCTTTGCATCGTGCAAGACGATGAAAATGACTGGTTGCACGAGTCCTCCCAGATGGATCTAGTATATCGCCACGCATTTGTCACTTTCTGCAGCCTCAACTCCGATTCATGTCACGAGAGTTTCCTCAACCGAGCCCCTGCGGTGAGAGTCACCTTTCAATCAACGATACGAAAAGCCACCAAGGGCTCTTACCTGATCGGGTTACGATCAAGAACGGGTGTGCATATGAACCGCGGACATTACGACTGGGACTTGGCATTATCCAAGTGGAACAAGAGATGCTGGACCTTCCAGGAAAAGGAGATGTCTACTCGTGTCTTACTTTTTGGAAGCCAGAGAATGCATTTCACTTGTGCTAGAAGCAGATGGTCTGAAGGAGATGAAGCTCCCCGTGGCAGGTCTCCATTAACAGTAGGAGTCTCGGCCATGATCACCAGGTTCAGGGACAAGCACAGGTCCCCTGGGGAACTTTACGAGTATTGGGATCGGTTAGTTAGACAATATGGTCATCGATCGGTGACGTTCGACAAGGACCGCCTTCCCGCTATTGCTGGACTTGCCCGCATGATAGGCGAAGCGGTGCAGGATCGATACCTTGCCGGACTTTGGGAGGGTGATTTACCCTACGGATTGAGCTGGTACAGTCCAGGTTCTATGCTTTCGCGCGGTCTTAAAACTCACATACGGGATATTCGAGAACGGAATTACGTTGCCCCTTCTTGGTCCTGGGCAGCGTGCCCAAGTGTGTCGACGATCATTCGTGGAAGCGCAATGATTGAAGAGTCAGTTATAGTGGATGCCAACACTATCACTAGTTCTGATGATCCGTATGGACAGGTGTCTGGAGGATTCCTTCGAATCCGCGGGAGAATGGCTCGACTGCCGGACTGGTTAGTGAAGAACGAAGAAAGGCGATGGTCAAATCGTTGGTATGACCTCCTCATAGGCACCAACAATAGTATTTTCGCTATGACGGACTGGCTTCACAAGGATAGAGAAACAGAGCTGGAGCATCTCATGGCCATGCTTCTCTACCGCATCGAGAACCAGGATGGAGCAAAAGCGCCAAATCTGCGGGCTTTGTTGCTCTATCCTGCAGATGAATTGCAAAATTATTATCGAGTGGGGGTGGTAGAGTCCGAAGGACACGAAGGGTACAGTGAGATGAGAGGCTGGTTCGAGGAGAGCCAAGAAGAAACCATCTGCATTATTTAACGTGCAGACACTCTAGGATAAGAGCAGATATACCTTCACGGCATTGGAAAAGATGCGCGCATGCATCACCGAGAGTGTTTCCCAAGTACAGACCGATAGACATCCAGGGAGAGAGATCAATACATAAGAGGGGCTCGATCCTTCACAGCACCGATACACCCACACAAAATACACAGAATCGACCTCATTTCCGTTCTTCAACCACTCCCTCCCTACGCTTTCGCTTAATCATCTTCCCTTTCCATCTTCATCACTGCCCTTCTCTCAGCATCTTCGTCCACCACCCTTCCCACATACTGACTTCCACCATAACTGTGCATCCTGAGCGCTTCGTCAAATCGAACACGTTGTCTACGCTGCTGATCAAGCGTGTTACTATAGCAGACCTCCGGGATAACTCCATGCTCTGTGTCGTGCGATGGTAAGATAGTAGAAGTGATGTCGCTATCAGGAATGGTGAGGCTTATAATCGGCCGAGATGGACCCTGTGGAGTAGTGTTCGCAAGCGTATCCGAGCCTTGCACCGAGATACCTTCAGAGATGAGATCTAATACGGCGTTCGCACCGTCTGTATCCCTTCTATAACACTCCCCAGTCTCCTTCGCCCTCAGCCTCTTCTCATCCCCAACATCTACACCGTCCTCCAAACCCAGCTCATCCCTCACAAGCCTACTCCCAATCATCCCCAACTCCCGTACTCCCATCTCCACCGCCCCTCTACCTTCGCCTTCACCTTCCCCCTCTTCATTTCCTCGCTCATACACCTCCCCCTCTCCTCCTCCCCCTATCTCCTCACCTCGCTCCCTACCACCACCACGTCCACGACGCTGGGGCTCAGCCATAACGCGCGCTCGTCTAATTTGGTGGTAGTAGTGGCGTTGGTGATGTGGCTGTTGCGGTTGAAGATAGTAGGCAATTAGGGCGAGGATGGAGAGTATGAGGGCTGTTGCTATGACGGGTTCGATCATTGCTTTTGGAACGTTGGGGTGTTGGGTTGGGGAAGATGGTGGGGAGGTAGAGGAGAGTGTAGGGTAGTGGAGTTGGGGAAGGGAGGAAGGAAGATATGGGTATGGAAGCGTTCGTGTGGTGATGTGACTGCGGTGTCAATATTCTGAGGGGGTGTTCGGTGATTGAACACGTGAACGTAAAGGGGTTACGAAGGAGGGTATTTCTGATTCGAGAGATGCTCACGACTTAAGCTGTATCGTGAAGGTATATGCGGTATTCCATACTGCAGCTCTTACATGGCAGATGATTTGCATACCTCTACCATGTATAGAAATCCTTCAACCCGGCATTAACTCATGCTTGCCACGTCAACCTCGGAAGAAGACTGGATAGGTCTGCAGCCTACATCAACATAAAAACACACAAAGTAAGTAACTCAACGTTGACGTAGGCCCCATGCCTATTCAGCTTTCTTCCTATATTCGGTGCTCCCCCTCCTCCATATCCCTAACCCATCTCCCCACCCCATCCCCCTTCCACCCAAACACATCCTTCTCCAAACCCCCCTCCACAGCCTCCGTAACCTCATCATTCAACTGTCCCGTATAACAGTCCCTACTCACAATCTCCATCAACGTCTTACACGCACTCTTCGCGCCCCCCATCTTCCCCTGCCTAAAGAACTCAAAATCACCAATCTGTTTATATCCCATGCGCCACTCGGACCAGAAGTCCGAAGACTGGGCTTTACGCCGCTTACTCGCGTCGCTGAGGAGGTCGTTTTCGGGGCCGGGGGCGAGCTGGAAGGCGGCTTTGGTGATGGACGGGATCATGTGCATGCCGCACAGTATGGGTGTGAGGCCTGATAGCAGGGGGAAGACAGCAGTGAAGCTAAACGATGTAAAGTGGCGGCAGAATTCCGTTTTCTTGGCAAAGCTGGCAATACGGTAGAGGAGGAGTTCGAGGATGCGGGGCGGCACCATGAGATGGAATTCGTAGGTGCTGTATACGGTTATGGAAGAGCCTTCGTTGTAGCCGAGGTGGTGCCAGGGTCTTTGTCGTAGGAGTTGGCAGCTAGAATACCGGGGTTCGCTATCCGGAGTCTTGTCAAGTGGAGGCTCTTTCTGGAGAAGCTCGATGTAGTGAATCTTCATCTCGAAAGCCCAGTTGTCGTTGGTGCCCATGGCTGAATCCACCAGCGCGGCCATGGTTTTTGGTGGTGCAGCGACAACGATACGTGTAGGGTTTAGACACGAAAACGTCTTTGTCCAAATATCGGTGACTGAGCTCAGCATGTGGTCGTGAGCGGTGGATACATGCCACAGGTTGTATTCTTGATCTGTATGCACCACCAAGCTCTTGATGTGGCGTTTCAAATCATTCTGCCTGACAAATTGCGTGAATTTGTCGAAATCCGTTGAAAGATGCGGGATCCACGCAGCTCGCAGTGTCGCCTTGAGAAATTCGTCTCCGTCCTGAATGCGACACAGTTGGATAAGCACGTCGTCCATAGCCGGCTCGAAAGCAGATCCAGAGGTACTCTTGAATTTGCTGCGAAGTTTTGTGTAGATCATGAACTCGTGGTTACTCAACTTGGATAGCTCTCCCTGCATGCTATCGACGAGGCGCGCATCCATTGGTACCCATAGTGCTTCCTTGTCCAGTGCTATACGGGCGTATTGGAAAAGAATCGGAAGCACAACCTTTCTCCACCTCCATGACACTAGGGAGAGGGTCTTTAGGGGTATAGAATCAGAGTTCGTTAATTGCGAAGACGGCTCGTGGTGGAATTTGGTGATTGATGGGGCTTGGTCTGCGAGATGCGAGGCGATCTGAGCCAGCAGCTCGTTTGGCAGCGACTGCATCATGGTGTATAGAAAATTAACACTATAAATGGCGACTGCGAGATTTGTGGTTTGCGAGGCTTGAGTGAAGCGTGAAGCATACAGTTGAGGTAGTATCGGTGGCATAATCGAGGGTCCGAACTTGTGGGCCTCCGGGTACGTCATCCCGTCTTTGATTAGCACCCAGCAACGGCCATCGCAACTACCCGCGGTCGCTTCACATCCTACTACAATTCTATACTACCAGATTCATATAGGCATCTCAAGTCCGAAAAGATCAAGCCTCATAAGGCTAATGTCCATTTGCCCGGTGTACAAAGAAAAGCGTAAACAAGGTCGAACACCGTACTCGAACGGAGTCTACAGCAGCACAGCTTGAGATCGAACATTCAGCGTCTTCACGGTTAGATGAATGCTATCTGAATATGACTTGCGCTTCGTGGTACTCATCTATCTTTCGGGCCTCTAGTCCTAATGATGGCATCACACGTAAGTAGAGGGAAGAGACCTCCACCGCCTCCCTTGCACCTCCCCCACCCCGGCTTAATAAGAGTTCTGCAAATGTATTGCGTATATTCAAAGTCTTCACGAATAGGCTTTTGCTATACAGATACACTGCTAGACTAGAATCCCGCCCTAACAGCCCCATCCAACCACGCAACCCCCGCCATAACCCCATCCACAACCCTCACCCTCCCCCCCTCCTTCTCCCCCAACTCCTCCACACAAGCCTCGCGAACCATCTCATCCATCCCCGCCATACCCGCGCAACCCAGACAAATCGCACCCACTTTCCCCTTACCCAACAGCCTCTTAACCGCATCCTTCATCCTCTTCCTCACCTCCTCCGCCGGCGCATCATGCAAATCCGTCGCATTGAGCCCCGTTGTTTCAACGCCTGCAAACCGTTTACCCGCGTCTGAGCCCGTGCCCAAAAAGGCGATTGTGGCATCCGTGAGGATAGTCTCCCAGACTTTGCCTGTGCTTACTATGCCGAACTTCTCGTCGGGGTGGATAGCTTGCAGGGAAGCACCAACACTAGCTTCGAAGATACCCGTAACAGGTTTTCTCGTATCTCTTATGGCGGGCTCTTCTTTGAGGAGAGGGACGAGCGGGTGTTGGCTGTAGCAAGCGACGAGGAAGGCATCGTGGCGGGCGAGTTGTTCGCGGAGAGCGGGGAGGCAGTGTTTCACCGACTCTGCGGCGTCGTCTTCGTTGTTGATGCTCTTGGGGCCAGAGGGGGCGGTGAAGTACTCGTGAGCGGTCTGCTAGCTGTGGTTAGTTGCTGGGTGGGTGTGGTGAGTGGTGCTGAGTAACGTCTTTGAACTGCAGGGCGTCGACGAGCGGCTTCAGGCCGTTGGTCATTTGCTCCGTCGAGTTTGGGTTGATGATGAGGATGGACCGCATCTTGCTATATCGTGGGTTGGTACCGTTGCGATATTCACCCATTGGCTTTGCTTGGAGCTGTGTGCCTGCGCGGTTGCCCCGCCATGAGGTTTGACATTGTGGCGCGTGATGGATTTGGGATGTGGAGCTGTGACAAGGATGTGGACTCTGACGTCATGTTCCAGATTGTCTCCAGCTTGTTTGTTGTGTGCACAGGGACAGGTGATTGCGCGCGACGAGTGTGAAAGTGCAGTGAAGAACAGACATGTTGTATTAGGCTACTGAGGGTATTGTGAAGCATGAAACTGCGTCGCAGATGTATGCCCGTGGTATCGCCTAACTTCTCCTTGAATTACGCGCCGCCATGCGTATTCAATCGCACCAACGCCGTCGCAAGAGGAAATCATCGAAATGTGGGATATGAAAGCTAGAAAAGTCAGGACTAGTCATCGTAGAATGTCGTGCCTAAGGCTTACAGGTCGTGAATCGTCGTCAAGGGTCGGCGACTAGCTTAGCGGAAGCAGCTGAAGCGTCCGCAAGAGAAGCGGAAGGGAGCGCGGCGGACGCCGTGACGGTCAGCGACAACACCACCACCTAGTATCTTGTCAGCAACTGGTGCTTGTGTCCGGAACAGACGGCTCCAAAGCGGGCCACTTACCGGCGTGCTTGCCGCCAAAGCCCTTATGCCACATGAGACCCATGGTTGCTTGTGTTTGTTGGTTGGTAGAGGTAGTAGTTTAGGTTTGGGAGTTGACGAATCGCTTTGTTTGTGCAGAGTTCTTGTTGTGGTGTAGCTGGAAGGTGATCGCAGCGCGTGTGTTATATAGGAGGTGTGTGGGAGGCTGGAGGCAGATTCAGGGCAAGAACAGGGTCGGTGAAGCGGTAGCTGCTGCGTCATAGGCTGGCAGCCAAGGGCTTGGAAGATGCAGCACAGCCACCGCTAAAGGCGATCATCGTGGAGATTGCAGCGAGCGCACACAGTACAGCCTCGATGTCTTCGTAGACCTGTGCGCGCGTGATTGGCCGCGTCTGGATTTCTTCAAGATTGCCCATAGTGCACGCAGAGTGGTGCGCCACAACACCGTATCTTAGAAGGGCCGAACTGGTGTTTCGTGGCACTCTCATGACGACGTTCGCGGCTGTGAACAGCTAGCATTGGGATTTGGGCGTCTTTAGCTTGTCAGCTGCGACTCGATTTGCACGCGTACAAACCGGCTAGCCATCTGCAAACACATTCACCGCACATTTCGTCCCAGATAGGCATTAAGCGGAGACATGTGACAGCGGCAACTGAGCGCTTATTGATTTTGCGTGCAAGGTTGTAGCTTGCTTGACCAAGGCCATAGATCATAGCCCGCTCCCAGCCAGATTCCAGAAATGATTTCTATTGTACAGATGTCGTGATCCAAATAACATGAAATAGCCACCGCCGCCGCTGAGCCTGCTACCGGCTCATAGCTGACGACGTACGCCCATCTCGCAGAATTTTATCTTCCGCCCATGCCGCCTTGTTGTGCCATGGCGGCGTTTTGTTCCTGGAAGCGGTCGCCTAATCGCTGGGAGCCCTTCATGTGCTTGTCGACGCATCGCATGACGCAGCTCTCTTCGCGCGAGGTGAGGGACTTGCTCTCGAAGCCGTTGACGCAGTGGTCGAAGCATTGCTGGACGAGGTTGGAGTACATCTGGGATGGTCAGTATTATGGTCGTGCAGGACAGAATGCGGATGTCGTACGTTCATGAATTCCTTCATCTGCTTCTTCTCCATGCGCGACTGCAGCTCGCGCTGCTCAGATGCTGTGAGTCTACATGCGATTAGTTATTGTGATGCCAATTGGGACAAGCACATACGACTCCATGATGCCTGGTCGTGTGTGGTGGCAGGATTATTGTTTACGGAAGGGTGGCTCGACGCGGAAATTTGGTATGACGTCGGGTGGTTGTCTGGATGCTGTGCTGACGAGCCTGCACCCAGAAGTGTAGACGCGAGCTAGGCCACCGGGCGGCCCGTCCACGCTCTCCAGTCACCGAACCACGGGAAGCAGGCGTGGAGACTTCATGGCAGCCGCATTCAGCGGGTCAATTCTGGGACAGATCTGGGAAGGCACTTGGGACAGAATGTGGCAATGGATGCGTCGTCTCTCATGTCCCGTCGCACCAATATTGTGTGGCTCCCGCTGCATGGCCGTACCAGTACCTGACCTGTACCTTTCCCGCCAAGACGGTCGTTATTATTGGAACCGACTCCAGCATAGCAAAATAATAACACAATAACATCGCCTCTTAATACCAGCTGCATCCGCTACCCGTATTGATCGCCGCTGTATTTTGCCGTCGAGGGGCCTCAAGCCTCGCGTTTGTGTCTGTCAGTCAGGCGACGCCGTGCCGTCTTCCTTGGATGCTCACAATTGGCCCGCAGCCACACATCACGGCCGCTAACCTGCTGCTCTTCGTCAGTCGAGCAGCGGGCTGCCACTCGACTGCCTCGCCCCGACTGCGATCATTGCCCTCTCCAGACGCCGACCCTGCAGGCCCAAGTCGCCTCGAGCCACAGTTTCAGGCGCGCCTCGATATTGCGCCCGACCAGGCCGCTGAACCCTCCGACGACATCCTGCAGCTGTACCTGTACCCCTAACCGCCCGTCGCGTCCTAGACCCAGTCTCGCGCCAGCACTCTCTCGCTCTGCTCTCCACCAAGGAAGACGTCAATATTGCAGGACCCGCCTACAGGAACGCCGTCACGACCCCGCTGACATCTCGCGCACGCTCGCTACCTCGCTTCCTCGACTCGCTACCCTCCGACGTCACATAGCGGCCCCCAGACAGCTGCCGCCTGCCCACTTCGGGCCCACCTGTACCTGGACACCACGCCTGCCATATTACATACCTAGAGCTGCGACGCTCTCCACACCACCGCCTGCCATGGCTCCCGCAGGCACCCACACCAACCCCAACACGCCGCGCGTGCGCAATGGCGAGCCCCAGCCCGCCCCGTTCGCGACACCAGAACCTGCCTCGTCGCGTCGAGACCTGACATCGTGGTGGAGGCAGTTCAGCAAACGCCCCGCGAAAAAGGAGGACGAGAAAGGTACGACACCACTGCCAGCATTTTCACATGTCGAGTCCGCGAGTTCAGCCTCGTTGGCGGCTGAAGCCCAGCAATGCGCTGCGAGTGTGCCTGCAGCTCCCCGCCTCTTCTTGTCGCGAACAATCACTGACTGTTGTGGCCGCACGTAGAACCCGCCCTCCCTGGCATCTTTGGTGTACCCCTCATACAAAGCATACCATATGCCAACGTCGCTATTTCGCTATTCAACGAGCACGGTGAAAGCTACATCTATGGTTACGTCCCAATAGTGGTCGCCAAATGCGGTGTCTTTCTGAAGGAAAAGGGTCAGTGAAGCTAATCCCATCACCCATCAGCTGTTAACAGCGCACAGCAACCGACGTAGAAGGCATCTTCCGATTAGCAGGCTCCGAGAAGCGCATCAAGGAACTCCGGACGGCCTTTGACACCCCACCCCGCTATGGAAAAGGTCTGGATTGGTCCGGCTATACTGTACATGACGCCGCCAATATTCTGCGCCGCTACTTCAACAATCTCCCGGAGCCTATAATACCGCTGCAACATTATGACCCCTTCCGGAATCCGCTCAAAGGCCATCAGGCTGAGGCAGTAGGCGCCAGTGAAGGACAGCAGCCCTCAGTCGGAGGCTTCGATCCCGATGCGGCTGTGCGCATATATCAACATCAGATTAAGGCATTGCCGTCTTTGAACCGGCA